TCTACAAGAACAGAAAGCAATGTGTGCATAAGGGTGGAGAGAGAGAGACAGAGAGAGAGAGACAGAGAGAGACAGTGTCTGAGTTTGTATTAAGGACACACCTGGTAAACGCAGCCTGTGCTCCGGGGACTTTAAGTGTGGTGAAACAATGCAGAGGATTGAGGTGGAATGGAAGAAGGAAAGGACACAAGGACGTCACCTAGAGGTTATTATAAGCAACAGACCAACTGTGTTTAAGAAAGAGAGTGTGACCTGCTTCTCCCAGAGGGTGAGGTGAAACCACATGGAAAATATGAAACACAGTCTTATATGTCTGACTAAGGTGGATGTTGGTCTCTCTGTGTTTGACAGAGCCAGAAACATGAGATATATATATATATAGATATAGATATAGATATAGATATATATTTATCAGTATATATTATCAGTAGTCAAAAATGTAGCAAATCTATGAACCAGAAATATTCCCTTTGCTACACATTCTCCACGGCCCAGTCCACCACCACAAACACCACCTCGTCAGGGCCTTGGCCGGTGTCTGTGGTCTTGGCAGCAGACACTCGGACCCCCTGCCCTCTCCTCTTATCTGCCACTTTAACCCTTCATTAATCTCCTGCGGGGCATTTAACTCCTGTTTGTCTGTGTCTGGCAGCCCTCGCAGCATCTCTCTGTCTCCATCGCCGCTCAAACTCCCCACCGAGGCCATCACAGCCAATTAGCCCAGATGAAGGCTGCACTGAAGCCCTGCCTCCACACAGCACAGGCGGGAGGAGAGATCAACCAGACTCAGGTGTGGAGGGAAAACAAGCAAACACACACACACATTTTTTTTTGTTCTTTTCTCTGAGTCGGAGTCTTAACATTTAGGGCAAAATATAAAAAAAAATCTATAAAGAGATGTTGGAGGTGAAAACAAAGAAAACAATTCACTGTTTTATGTTCAGAGACGGCAGCGGCGTGGCTCACTGTTTACAAAAGAGACCCCGGACAAATAAATACATCTCATCACTTTCACAATGTTGAGTGGAGTAAACACGTCCAGCAGCAGCAGCAGCAGCAGCAGCGTCAGCAGCAGCAGCAGCAGCAGCAGCAGCAGCAGCAGCAGCAGTACCCAGACTGTTAAACAAGTTTAAGTCAAATAGTTTCTTTTCAAATGTTCTCGCAGCCATGGCCCACATTACTCTGGGTTTCGTAGTGTAGCTGTTAGAGAGAGAGCAGTGAGTCATGGGTTCAATTCCCAGAGGAACCACATGCTTGGCGCCTGCTGTGGGCAGCCTGTCAACAGCAAATCTGCTGTTAACATAAGAATTTCACAAATAAAGTTCAAATTATTATTATTATTAATCTCAGCCTCAGTGGTTTTTATTGAGGTAGTAATGGAGCTAGCTAACTTAAAAATGGAAAAATTTATTTTTATAAACTTGTGTTAATTGTCAATTTTCTTTTCAGTTTTTGTAAAACTGAAAAAAAAATTGTGTTCTTTTTAAAAAAAAC